TATATATATATATATATATATATATATATATATATATATAGGTTCAAACAAGAACTCTTATGATTTACGAGAATGCGAGAACAGTCTATAAACCAAACATTGTGTTTTAAATCACAATTTAATAGAAGTTAAGGGATTTTTTAAATTTAAACTGATATTAGACAATCTAAAATATATTTAAGACGTGGAAGGGTAAAATTGGAAATTGAAATGATGACATTCAAATAACACGATCACGATTACTTTGATCATCGAGGAAGTGATAATATCACCGACGGTGGTTATCCAACGATAGAAGGCCATTTTCAGAAGGTTTAGGGCGATAGAAATCGAACTAGAGATAGAAAGCGGACTGGAGTTTGTTTCTTTTGATGCGTCAAGGAAGAAGAGTGCAGAGGTATCAATCAAACCCCAGAACTACAACTCAAAGGATCGTGCAATGGGTGTGTCGGGTTCGAAGAGATAGGGGCAAGTACTACACGAGCTCGTAAGTAAAGTACGGAACGAGCCTTGTCTACGACTCTTTTATGCCAGTGGAATTGGGAAGCATGATAAGTATCATATGTTTATCATACTTAGATTATGGGTCGATGATTGTCTATAATCGATTTAGATTGTATCACATATTTAGCAAATGATTATGGATCAGGACTCGATTATTGTATCACATATCTATCACAGAACATTCGATAGCACAATAGAGTAATTGAATAGCGGAGACGATCGATAGCACAACAGTGTATCACATCACATTCAATATTCTCGATATCACAGTCAACAGCACATTTGATATCATCGATATCACAGTTGATATCACTAGTAATTGAGTATCACATATTTATCACAACACATTCGCTATTGTCGATATTCGCTAGCACCGTCAATAGCAAACTCGTGTAAAAAGTAACCTAATTATATTCAAGTGTATCACATAATTATCACATGTTAGATTTGTTCATTTTCAATTAACAAAATGAAAACTCGAGAAATCAATATTGTATCACACAAATATCACATATGATCGAATATCCAGATATAAAAAACAATAGGGACGCGAGATTAATCTCACGTGATTAGATTCCAACCTAAAATTATGGAATAACTACAATTAATTGAAATAAGGTGAAAATTATAATAATATCTAATTACATTACTGTCATTATTAATTTATTTTTATTTATTATAATTTAATGTAATGGGTTAAAAAAGTTATGAGACCCACAACTGTTCTTGCATTTTCACAAAACAGAGGGGTTCCCGTTTGAACTCCCGCCTGTATACACACACACACACACATATATATATATATACACACACATATGTGTGTATTTTGAATAATAACATAGAACAAATTAAATTCATATAAGTAATAAAATAAATAACGAAATAAGAATAATTGAGAACAAATATATAGATCTTATAAAAACTGATTTCAATGATGCAAAATCAAGATTAAATCTCTTAATCTCAACTCACTATTTTCTTCAATTCTCAGAGAATTTGTGTTCGACTCTACATGTATGGAAATGAGAGTAAATATTTACCCAATTAGACTTTTAGTTGTTAAGTTTCATTTTTATATTTATTTAATTCTTGTACACAATTATCATTTATCCCTCAAGTTATATACTAAAAACCTCACACCTTACAAAATAACGCGTTGTAACGTGCCATAACATGTCGTAACGTGTCATAACATTCTACAATAGAAGTCGAGTCTTAGAGTGAAGTCACTTACCCGAGTAAGCGCTTATCAAGTAACATTACTTTATTGGATGAATATAGTAATTACCAAGAATCTTACCCCTTAAGAGTAAAGACAAGTACCAAGAGTCTTACTTGGTAAGTGAGATCAATGACTCTTACCATAGTTAGCGCTTACCGGATAAATTGTTGCATTTGATACAATTTTAATGAATTAAAATCTTACTCAGTAAGTGATAATGTTGAATTTTACTGATAAACACTTACCCAGATAAGTACTTAATAAACGGTCCCTTAATATCATATCAGTCCACCACTACCATATTTTTTCATTCATAATATTTTTGAAAGATATTCTCTTTCCTTTTTGATCTTTTATAGTATGTTTGGAAAAAAAAATCCGACCAATATCAAGTATGTTAATAAAATAGAATCGTAGATCTTAAGCTATTTAATCATAAATGACACAGATTTTTAGGACTTGTAAATTGCAATTATCATATTTCTTAAATAACTAAATGATATTTTTATTCTTAACGGTAAATAAAAAAAACTATCTCATAATCAAAGATAGAATGAGAATTTTGAAACTGTATAATTATTTTGGGATAAATTAAAATAATAATGTAGGTATTTAGAGGCCGTTTACTAAACAGTTATCTCGGTAAGCACTTATCAGTTCAATAACATTGCAGATAAACACGATAAAAACCGAGAATCTTACCCGGTAAGAAGGAAGACAAAGAACGAGAGTCGTACCTAATAAGTGAGGAGTAATGACTCTTATAAGCGTTTTTCATCAATCCATTTTGATAGATAGATAAATGATAGTAATAACTCTTACCGGTAAATATTTATTCGGTAAACATTTGAGAAACGACCCCTGTTAAATCAAAGCATTATTAAAACACATCAAAGCATGTACTTTTTATTCTAAAGATCTCATTAACCATAGAAAGTCAAAATATCCTTTAATTATTGAAGCACATATAAGAAAATGTTGATATATTAAGCAGAATTAAATCACCAACTGCTAATTTAATAATACAATAAACAGGAGTTGATTCATTCCAAAATAAAAACCCAATTGCAGTTGATTCATTCTGCAAAACACGCATAAAAACCTGTAGACAGGTTGGTTTCTTCAAAGTCCATATCTCATGTTTATATAAACCCTAATTCACCACTTCCCTTTTCCCCCATAAATTCCCATTTTGCTGGATTTTGATTTTGATTTGGAAAATAAGAATGAAGTTTGGAAAGGAATTTGCTTCACAAATGGTGCCAGAATGGCAAGAAGCATATATGAACTACAACTACCTCAAGACTTTATTAAAAGAAATCTTGATTTTCCGGCAACGACAGACCAGATCATCATTGCCGGCGTACCCATTGCGACCGCCACCGGCGAAGGCGACGTCTTTGAAGAGAAGGGCATCTCTTTTTAGAGCTTTCAGTGGATTAACAGGTCGTTATGGGAACACGAGTCCGAAAGAGGATAATGAAGATGAAGTGATTCTGGTGAATGCAATGCAGAAATCAGATGAAGAACAAGGGGAAGATTGCCGGAGTTACCAGACGATATTTCTCCGGTCGGCGGAGGAAGGCGGCGAGTTTGAGCTAGTGTTCTTTAAAAGACTTGATTTTGAGTTCAATAAAGTGATTCAGTTTTATAGGGGGAAGGTGGAGGAGGTGGTGCAGCAGGCGGAGGAGTTGAATATACAAATGGATGCTTTGATTGCTCTTCGAATTAAAGTCAATGATCCTGCTGCTGCTGCTGTTGTTTCACCAATGACCAATAATGATCCAGCTTCTGTATCTCCATTCATCAATCAAAGAAACACAGGTAGTTAATTAAGAACATTATATATATATATATATATATATATATATATATATATATATATATATATATATATATCCCAAATCGACTAGACATGAATCATTTTCGGGTAACAATTTTCTCGCATCTGACATGGTATCAAAGCAGATTCTGGACTCGATACTCCAGTAAAATCCCAACACAGAAAGTTCTCGGCAAAAAAAAGTGGAAAGTGGCTGAAAACCAATCCTTACGCATATGTGTAAGGATCGGCTAAAAAGTGAAACCCTATTAGAGTACTCTCCATGTGAGAATATAGAAGCTCATTAGATTACTCTCCAAAAAGCCCCAAGGAGAGATGGTGGTTCCAACATATATTGAGAAGAAAAATGATCCAAGTCTAGCCGTTTGGGACCCTTTAACAGTTGGAACCCCGTTCTCTGTCACGTTTTGTTGGAGAGTGATCTTAGAGGTTCCGGATATCTCACAAAAACAATAATAATTGTGAAATATTAACTAATTTTTGCCAAATTGAAGGTTCATCTCCATTGGAGGCTATTCATGAAGTCGAGATGAGTAATCATGGAAATGAAAAAGAACCCGAAAAAAAGAGATTGAACGGTGGCAAGGACTACAAATTGGCGTCTTTAGAAGTTTTGAATCACATAAAGATCAACGCCACCCCAGAAACCCCGCGATCCACCATGAGAAGTGTTTTCAATAGTACGAGATCCGACTTGCATTTCAACAAAAAAGAACTCAGAGATGCACAAGAAAAATTGAAGAAAGCTTTTATTGAGTTCCACCAAAAGCTTCGGCTTCTGAGTAGCTATGCGTAAGCACTAAGCCTTTCTATTTGACATAATGATCAACTATAAACAGAACTACAAGGGTTGTGGCGTAGTCATTTAGGTCCTGGGGATGTGGTGGAATATCCCATCTGTCCAGGGTTCGATTTTAGATGTACACAACAATTATGGCCACAGAGTTTATATGTCTTGCAGTCACAATTTGCCAGGACCAGGACGCCCTTCAAAAAAAGATAACGAAGAACAACCACTCTACTATTTGGGTGTAGGATAGGTCTACATACATCCCACCTTAGGCCCTACTTCTGAGTAGGACCTATTGGGCATGTTCAGAGTTACTTGCTACAAACAGAAATAACCGCTCTTCCATTTGGGTAGAAAATAAGTTTGCATACATCCCACCCTCGGACCCTACTTCTAAATAGCATATACTTAGTTTGTTTGGTTTTATTGGCTACGACAAACAAAACTGAGTTGTATCTTGGTTTGCAAACCAGATTTCTGAATCAACTGGCCTTCTCCAAGATAATGAAGAAGTATGATAAGGTCAGAAATTATTTGATTTGATCATATGTGTATATGGGCATTTGAATGCTGACCGTAATTGTTGGTGCAGATCACGTCAAGAAACGCATCGCATGCTTACTTACAGATGGTTGAAGAATCTTATTTGAGTGAATCTAATGAGGTATATAACCATATGATGTTTATAAATCAGATGACTTGAGATCATGTGAGACCAACTGTTTTTGTGAGGCCCATGAGACCACATAAATAACACTGAACCTTCACAGCAGAACATTGCGAAAGTAAGTGAAGATAAACCTTCACAATGTTTTTGCTGTGAAGGTTAGATGTTTTTCATTCATTTACAATGTTTTGCTGTGAAGTTTCAGTGTTATTTTATGGTCTTACGAAAACAAGTTGGTCTCACGTGAACTCAACCCTAAATCAGATAATGCTATGTTCAACATTTGACCAAGAATTCCTTCAGGTCTCTAAACTCATAGAGAGAGTCGAAGCTGCATTTGTAAAGCATTTCTGTAACGGGAATCGCCATCAAGGAATGAACTCCTTGAGGCCAAAAGCTAAAAGAGATAAGCATGGTGTAACATTTTTTGTGGGTAAGTTATGAGCATCATGGGGTCCTTTGATTATAAACTTAAAATGACCTTCTTCTAGTAGGTTCTTTTTAAATCCATGACCTTCCCATAGTTTTGAGATTGCCTCTTCAACACACAAGAAGACCTAAAATCCTTCAGAAAGTCATGGATTTAAAAATCACTTGAGCAGGAGCATAAGATCCCACATTGATTGGGGAGGAGAACGAAAGTTGCCTTACAAGAAACTGGACACCTCCTCTATCAAACGCGTTTTAAAACCGTGAGTCAAGGTTTATGGACAAAGCGAACAACATCTGCTACGGTTAGCCTGGGATGCTATAGATGGTATCAAAGGCGGGAACCGGACTAGAACAGAACTAGTGTGTCCCCAAGAACGCTAGGGTCCCAAGGTGGGTGGATTGTAAGATCCCACGTTGGTTGGAGAGGGGAACGGAAGTTGCCTTATAAGGAACTGGACACCTCCTCTATCAGACACATTTTAAAACCGTGAGTCCAGGTGTGTGAACAAAATGGACAATATCTCGTACGGTTAGCCTGGGATGTTACAGAGTATTTTCTCTAATGCAGGTTGCTCGATAGGATGCTCGTTAGCACTTGTGGTGGCAATCATTGCAAGTTTACATGCGGGAGTTCTTCTCAAGAGTGAAGGTCGAGATGCATACATGAATACCATCTTTCCACTGTACAGTCTGTTTGGATTTATCGTGTTACATATACTGATGTACGCTGGGAATTTATACTATTGGACACGTTATCGAGTCAATTACTCGTTCATATTTGGATTCAAGGCGGGTACAGAATTGGGTTTTAGAGAAGTCCTACTCCTCGGTTCTGGTCTGTTAGTACTCACTCTTGCAGCTATATTGTCAAACCTTGAAATGGACATTGATCCAAAGACTAAAGGTTACAAAGCTATAACTGAATTACTCCCTCTCGGTTTACTCATTGTAAGAATTTCCTCTTTTGCCCTCATAAATTTCTTTCAAAGTATGTGGGGGCAGTTATGCCTATGATGAATAAGCAGAGTTTTTTTTTATAAATCCATGACCTTCTGACAGGTTTGAGAATGTCACTGCCTAACTAAGGGGTTGTTTGGTTGGTTTTCCATTAAGTCCTATATGGATAAAGTTGTCTATGTTTTAATCTGTCTGTATAGATAGGAAATGTTTTTGTTTGGGAGGGCTTTTTCATAGATGAAAGGAGCTTGTTTTTTAATTGACGGGGGCTAGTTTGGAAAAAACTTGGCTTTCTACATAAAGCTCTCTTGGAAGCTTACTGAATAAGCCACTTTTTATATCATTAAGCCGCTACCAAACAGTCATGTATAGCTGAGCGAATAAGCTGTGAGTCTCATTAAGCTCATTAAGCTGCTAACAAGAATGCCTCTTCCATACACAAGAATGCCTACAAACGTGCCAGAATATCATGGATTTAAAATGCACTTGTCAGGAGGTCATTTAGCTAAATAACCCTCCATGTGTTCAGAGATGGGCACTAGATGCTGTGTCTGAAAGACATATTCTTTAAGCACTATTCATCGTGTAGAACACCCCCACCTACTACTTATTTATGTGTGTTTCAAATTCATTGTAAATTCTGTTTTGCAGGTTGTGGTTTTGATAACATTATGTCCGTTTAACATCTTCTATCGCTCAAACCGATATTTCCTCTTGGTCTGTTTATGGCACTGCATTTGTGCTCCTCTTTATATTGTTACTCTCCCTGATTTCTTCTTGGGTGATCAGTTAACTAGTCAGGTAAGATTCATAAAGAACAGGAAAACAATAATAACAATATTACAATTAAGGAGCTAAACTTTGTTGGACTTTCTATGGTATTTTTTTTTTTTTTGGGTAACGTGGGTGTCCGGGACAGATTGCACACGCCTTGACTAATCCCAACTGGCCCTAAAAATAACAGCCAAGAAAATCCACAGTGGTCCTAAAGAGACTTTAGCCGGCGATCCATGGGGAGGAGTCCCTAAATGTAGCTTTTATTTGTTGTTGTGTTGGCCCTCAAGGTTGACTTTCTATGGTTTCAGGTTCAGTTATTGAGGAACTTGGAATTCTATGTATGCTATTATGGTTGGGGAGATTTCAAGAATAGGGATGCAGGTACTTGCGAAGACGGCAGAAGCACAATATATCGTAATATTTCCATAGTCATCGCCGTTGTGCCATATTGGATTCGCCTCCTACAGGTACACGATCTACTCATGCTCCATCAAGTTTTACAGAGTGACCACCAATGATTGCATTTAATAAGGGGAAATTGACAAAAATAGCCAATCAGCAAATCGGGTTTCACTTTTTAGCCATTTTCTGACCCAAATTCACTTTTTAGCAAATCGGGTTAAAAAGTGAAACCACCTATCAACTTTGGCTATTTATGTAAGTTTCCCACAAAGATGCATCATGCATGTTCTTAATTATGGTTTGTATGATTGTATAGTGCCTACGACGCTTGTTTGAAGGGCAAGATTCGACACAAGCTCTGAATGGGCTCAAATACTTCTCTACCATTGTTGCTGTTGTTGCAAGGACACTTGATCCTCTTGACGCAGGAGTGACCATCAAAATCATATCTGCAACCAGCTCAGTTATTGCAACAATTTTTAGTACCTACTGGGATCTGGTAAAGGATTGGGGTCTGCTATGTAGGAATTCTGAGAATCCATGGCTAAGAGATAAGCTCATTTTGCCTAACAGATCTATCTATTTTGTAGCAATGGTAATTTGCCGATCTTTTTTTTATCTATTTGATGGCCACAAACAAGGGGAAAATATAGCACAAGTGACCAAAAGACCATAGTGTATTTAAAGAAATGACCACTTATTTGCACAAATGACCTCTACTTTCGACAAAGAATTCCTCCAATGTTGATGAAAATATGTATGGGACCCACATGTCATAAAAATTAGGTAATTCTCCATGCATTCCTCCAATGTCCCATGCATTCCTCCGGTCTTGGAATTGAAGGAATGCATGGAGAATTAGATTACATGTGGGTCCCACGTCTACTTACTAAAAAGTAGGTAATTCTCCATGCGTTTCTCAAGTGTTGGCATTGGAGGAAAACATGAAGAATTACCTACTTTTATTTACATGTGGGTCCCACACGTATTTTCCCCAACGTTGGAGGAATTGTTTGGCGAAAGTACTTGTCATTTGTGCAAATACTAGGAAACTTGGTCATTTCATTGAATACACCATGGTATTTGCCCCATTTGAAATCCAAATCCTCTTAGAAACTATCAGATATTAATTTATATTAGCTAACTCGCAGATATTAAATGTGATACTGAGACTTGCCTGGATGCAAAGTGTACTGGATGTTTACGATACCCCTTTTCTCCATCGAAAGGCCGTAGTTACAATTGTTGCATGTTTGGAGATCATTCGTCGTGGCATATGGAATTTTTTCAGGTATAACTCAAATTTCAATCCTGATGGTGAATACCTGCAACCAATATCAGGAAGTCATAATCTAACCTTTTCGTAAATAATTCAGGTTGGAGAATGAACATTTGAACAACGTTGGTAAATTTCGAGCTGTTAAATCAGTTCCACTACCGTTTAGCCACGAGGACGGAGACAAGAATCTATAATTTGTTTTCGGAGAAGAATGGTAGAGAATTAGAAGTTTGTTAATACCGAGTTTCTATTTACAAAAATGAAAAACAATCCATGCGTATAAGAGAATTACATATTGATTTCTGAATAGCTTTTCTAGAAACCCTACAGAATAGGAATTTTTGAACGAACACAGCCATGCAAATTATCATTTCAATTTCAGAACGTAATAAGTTGAATTTCAAAATCAGCTTCAATATATCAAATATCAATCAGATCTAAGCACAAACAGTAATATAGAAGGAAGATGAATTCTTACTTTCTGGAGTGGCATATTATCATGAGTCATTCCTCTTCGAATTGCCATTGATGTCCACCATCAATCCATATTGTTGCTCCTGTTTTTATGCGGAATCCAAAATCCATTTCACTAATGATGTCGAAACTAATCCAATTATCTCATGCCAATCGTTACTATGTTTCTCGATCTCCACATTGTTGTTTTTCGTGATTTTGGGGGTGAAGGAAGAACCCTAGATTTGGTATCGAGGGACGGAAAGATCAGTTGTTGACTTGTTGCTTCCATTGATACAACAATGCACCAACTGAACCATCACAATGCGTCGTTTTATATCGTATTTTTATTCCCGCCCCTGAAGTTATCTTTTTTGACATTTTGCCCCTGATTTTTTGGATATATTACTAAAGGGATGTTTGGTTGGTTTTTTATTTATGGATAAATTTGTCTGTATGAATTAATCTGTCTGTATAGATTGGGAAAAGATTTTGTTAGGAATGTTTTTTCATAGATAAAAGGAGTTTTATATATAAAATCAAGTTTTTTCCAAACCTGTCTCTTCAAATTAAAAATTATGATCCTTTCTTTTCTCTCAAACAAAAATCTTCCTAACTTATACAGATATATTAGTTCATACAGAACTTAATGAAAAATCAACCAAACAGCCCCTTAATCAAAGAACGCTTGTTTGGTTTGACGTGATGTTTTTAATGGGATTTTGATTTTATGGAACGATTTGAAATTTCCGGTGTGTTTGATTTGTAGGATTTGGAATGTAATTGAATTACATTCTTTGTAATTGAATGGAGTAGGAGTGGAACAAGACTGTTTCACTTTATTATTGTCTGCTCCACATAAAAGTTGAATGGAGTAGGGGTAAATTGTTGCATATGATGCCGATTTGTGAACTAAAATCTTACTTGGTAAGTAAGTGATAGTGTTGAATTTTGTCAGTAAACGCTTACCGGGTAAGTGTTTGGTAAACGGCCCCTAAAAAACGGTTATATTTAAATATATGACCTTTAGAGAACCTTCTTCTGAGAACTCTTTAATTTGCGATATCTATGAAAACCAATAGATCATGTGTCATTTCATATAATTATTTTTTCATCTATAGCTAGAATTTAATATCATGAGTAAAATATATATGTTTCACATGAACTCGGTTCACAATGTAAAACTTTTTCGTATGTTTGTGAAACAAAAAGTACTCGTAAAAAAGTTTCACATTGTAAACCGAATAAATATGAAACAAATATATGTTACAAAAAATGTCAAAAAGTTTCACATTGTGAACCGAATACATATGAAATAAATATATGTTAATCAATACATTAAATACTATACTTAGATGCAAAAAGATCATGTGAAACAAAACCTTAAGATAAAAGTTGTCACGGATCTCACAAATTCTGGAGTTCTCAAATGATTAAACCATGTGACCTTAAAAAGGGAAAAAAGCCGAAACAACCAACATTCGAACACTTGAAAACAAAAAAAGAGCTTACAATACCAAAATATCGAAACGATCGAAATGTTATCATTCTTATTCCTACTCGATAGTCATCAAACCAAAAAAAATCCGTTACTCGGTGGGCCGTGATTCATCGTGATCGTTTTCGTATTGTGAGGAAGTTGATGAGTCCGATGGTGAATCCTCGGCAGTTATGGCGCCAGTATCGGTATCCTGGGTTCCAAAAATAGATGCAAACGATAACGGATTTGAGGTCGAGCTTTCCTTTTTTAGACCCTTTATGGTTCTAATAGCATCGACTGTCCGCCTATAAACATCGGAAGTTCCCTCCGCAAACGACAATGGCACGGTGGTTGTATTGGCGGTCGCGGGATACATTCCGCTAGTAGATTCGACTACTTCCGCTACTAAAGGGAAGAGGAGTTCGAGATTTTCCTCACACTCGTGCACCAACCTCGTGAGCGGTTCCGTGGTGAAGAAAGGCTGACGAAGGGCGAGTTGTGTGAAATGTACACGTAGTAATCCGCCCGTTCTTTTGTCGTACTTTTTCAATATTTTAATGATACCTAAAAATCGAGAAGAAATAGAAAGGTTACCAACAATGCAAAACGGGCAGCAAGCAGCCTATATGTTTCTATTTAGGCTATGTTTGGCAAACTAGCTGGTAGCTGAAAAACTAGCTATCTGCTAATAAACTAGCTGTTAGCTGAAAAACTAGCTATCTGTCAATGAACTGCTCCCTCAACTCCCAACTAAATGTCTACGACAACAAAGGCACAGGATTTTATGAACGTATAAGTATTTGACTTTATAATTAACTAATGACAATTATACCCTTAGTAATAGACGGAGTAATAAATTTCTCTATCTCATAAGTAAGGATAGAATTAAAAAGTAGACACTTAGTTTTGAAAGTAGACACGTATCCTGGACAAACTAAAATAGAAATATGGACACTTATTCTAGGACAGATGGAGTTCTAAGTAGCTGATAAGTGAACTGATAAACTAGTCATGTTTGGTAAAAACTAGTTGATTGCTAGTGGTTTTATGATACAGAAAGTGGCTTATTCAGTAAGCTTCTAGGGGTAGCTTTATGCAGAAAGCCAAGTTTTTTCCAAACCTGCCCTTCTCAATTAAAAAACATGATCACTCCGTCTATGGAAAAACCCTCCCAAACAAAAATCTTTCACTCTATAGAGACAGATTAATCCACACAGACAGCTTTATCCATACAGGACTTAATGGAAAACCAACCAAACAGCCCCTTACGCTAGCAGTTGCATCCCTCTAATCCTTAAGAACGTTAACAGTTTCGTGAAGCAATCAGACATCTCCATATAAATCGTGGGAAGTCCCTTAAAAATTCCAGATCAGATATATGAGGAAAATAAAATTGGTAAGCAAGCGATCGTACCTGCAAAGTTTAAGGAGCTGTAGTTTTTGAGAAGCACCATTTCGCCATGAATGGTGACAAAGTCTTTACGTATTGCCATCATCTCCTCGCTAAATTCACTTTCTGATGTGAACACTCCATCTTTGCAGCTTTTATCTTTTACTCGCTCGATTCTTTGTTTTAATTCCTGATTAAATTGCCAAGTAAAACCGGTGAGGAGATGCAAGATGCAGACCAGATGGCCAATCTCCCCAACCAACTTCGCCACTTTTTCAATTAAATTCTCACTTTAGCTGGAGTTTACGCTAATGTCTTGCGCATTTTTCAAGGATTCAAATTTTTGCGTAAGAATCCTTGTGCATATGCATAACCTTACGCATACGTGCAAGGATTCAACTTTTTGCGTAAGGATTTCGTTTTCTTTTTTCTTCTTTCCAGAAATCAGTCTTTACACAGATGCCTATTTTAGGAAGAGGCTCTGAAAAGTAGCTAAAAAATGAAATTGATTGATATTTTCCTTTTAATTACACAGAACAAGAATGAAGTCGGAAGTCTGAAGAAAAGCCGCATTATCAACATTATGGTTCAAAAATATCAAAGTAGAAACTAGAAACTATGTCAGTCAATTTCCCTAATACGTACTATGTCAAAAAACAACAAACTAGAAACTCGTCCACAAAAAAAAATGTAATTTCCGACTCAAAAACTTGTGAGAAAAGGGTTGCACCAGATAGCCCCCATGTGTGAAACCAAGAATTTCTCATTCTATTATCTTGTGAAATCCTTTTATCTTCTATTCCTCCGTCCCAAAATAAGTGTCCACATTTCTACTTTAGTTTGTCTCAAAATAAGTGTTGTGTCTACTTTCCAAATTCAAATTCTACCCTTCATTATGAGAGGGAGAAATTCTCGTACAATTGTCATTTATTTAATTAAAAAGTGTAATAATTACACATTCTATGTGACTTTTTCGTTGTGGACGTTTATTTTGGGACATAGGGAGTACTTTTTCATACAGTAGACACGATATGGAACTCAAAAGGAATGCCATTTGGGTATCCCTTTTATCCATGTTTTTTAAGTATATAATATTGATAAGGCAAAACTCACACACGCTCCTCATTCACCACCTTTGGTGAGGCTTGAACACCCTTGATCTCCAAGAAGGTTGGGTTACTAGGTATGATTGGGCCAATGGCCATTCGTTACACAAAATTATTCTCATCAAGACATTTCCTTCAGCAAAGTGAACAACTGTTTCTAGTCTTCTAACTTCCTATATCAATAAAAGGGATAACCAAAAGCATCAATCCACAGATTTAAGAACCACTTTAATTTCTTGATCGCTGTAACCACCCCATAACCATTTCAGTACTTACTGCACCCTTCCTCATTTATGGGTGCCTATAACTCCAAACCGCCCCCTTTTAACCCTTTTGTGTTTGTGGTTAGCATGGTCATGTCCGAGGGTGTTCCCATGTGACATACACAACACCCAATTATACATGTTTTAGCAATTACCCAATTATACACAGTTTGACCTCAGTCTTATAAATAAGAATTGGATCAAAGTACTGAGCATTTTCATATAATTTTCCCTATAATATATGGTATGAGCTTCTAGATTTTGTTTTAGTTATTACTCGTCCCTTTGATCAATAGTCTTGGTACTTGTGTACATGGGCCTCCAAAAAGATTGGAACCCCAAGTCCGCTGTTTGCATACTGATACAGGTTTTACACAAAAGATAAAAGGTGTCATAGCCAGGTAGCAACTCGTCACAATGCATGTTGCATAAGTAGGAATCTCGATACACAAGCTAACCATGCTTTATATGCATTATATCGAGCACGATAATGGTTGCAAGGAATGAAAATATCAAACAAGTAATGTTTTCATCGTTCAGCTATTTGTCTACCATCAAAAGTCATGATTAGGACTCTTGTAACTCGTCAGTTGCATCACGAAAAACCAGGCTCCATTTGTATAAAGAAAACTGAAAACAAAATGGAGAAGACATATAACTGACATCCGAACTGCTGAAACTCTTTTCTTACAGGATCTAGGCCTGGGAGTTAACAGATAGTTGAATTTTGTGGTACTCACTCGACAAGCTGCACGCAACTTGTAAGAGACTTGGGAAGTCGCTTACAAGTCGGCGTAGTTGGGTGACTCTTGCTACAGAAGTTGCAACATTCAGGCAAGTTGCAATCGACTAGGCTTAATGCGTTCGTTGTTCTATACGACTTTGAAGTCTGGTTGCCTATGGGCATTTTGGCGGAGTACTTGTAGGCGACCAGAAGTCGCCTATGGGCAAGTCGGCCAGAAGCCACGTTCACACCGTAGATGAGATAAATCGAGATTTTAGGGACCATTTTGGTCTGAACAAACATATATACCTCGGATTTAGGCATTTCTGAGGACATGACCTCTGATAAGAGTTCTTGAAGACGCAAGACTAGAGTAACAAACTAAGGGTGGGGATCTCGTCGGGAGGAAGGGAGCTGGAGAGGTAGATGGCAGGGGAAAGGTTAGTGAGTTGTTGTTAGGTTACTAGAGCCCTAAGTTAGACTAGGGATGTGTAGTTTCCACTCCTTGGTTATGTTTTTCATGTACTTGCTGCTATTTACATTATTGTTACCTATTGATATCTAGTTTCTCAAGATTTGGTATATTTTTCTTTATCGCTTTCTAGTATCACAAGTCAAGTTTGCGTACATCTTAGCACCCCTCCCCCAAAGACCCCACTTCTTACTGGGCTCGTTTGGTTTGGTTTGGCAAACCATAAACATATATACTTTGGATACATTTTGGTTTATTCTCCTCTCCAAATTTGAAGTGGTAGGTTGTTTTGACTATCATTCGTTTTTATGAAACGATCGGTAAGCATGCCATTGTAACTTCTACTTATTCAGATAATTTACATCATCCCAGCTTCGTGTGTGGATGTACACGATCATAAGGGTGTGGAACCACATTATATGTTTGTGTTGTTTAGATTGCATTCTATTTTGTTTATCATGACCCTTTATATCATTTGTGATCTGTTTCGTTGCGTTTTAATTGTGGATTTTTTTTGGCGACACTGGTTTGGTATCGACATTGTGACTTGTTTCTAGGGTAGACGTGATCTCTAAATTCAAATTTGCAAAGTTGTAGTCCAATTTACATTCCGGAATCCATATCCCTCAAGCTTCTCAAATTAACTTTTAAGATTTCAATGCAAGAAGAACACAGATTTAACATTCATCCTCCAAACACAAAACCAGTGCCTAGCCTTCCTCTCTCATAATTCAATATATCTGAATTAAAACGGTGAAAGTGTAGAATCACAAACTCCTACCCAAAATTTTACATATTCCATGAATAAAACCATACTCGTCTCAACACATCCTTCATGAAGATCATTATGATGTTGAATTCTAGTTTAGTTCATCTAATAACATTGAAAGAAAGGGACCAATCGCCATAATCTGAAATGAAGGAACTAGATCCCAATTCAAACGGATGGAAATTTCAATTTCTAAGATAACTACGAATTCACATCAAAAAATCAAAGCCTAGTAACAACTCATCAACCCAAATATCATAATTCAGATAGTAACAATTAACAAACACGAATTCAGATACGAAAAACAAAAACAAAACAAAAAAAAAACCTGAAATCGGATGACGAATTCTTCCTCTCTATCAACATAAAAATCGTTGAATTTATCGAGTTCTTCATTGAGAATCCTAACAAACCACTGCTGGAGATCGTCCAAGTGATGTGGAAGATTGCGATGGGAGTTAACAGGTTGAGGATGATCGTCGACGTCATCGGCGGTGTGATTAGGAAGGTGTTTAAGGAGTTTTTTAAGGGGTTTGTAACACAGATACTTGTCCTTCCATTCCGGTAGGGTTTGTTCGAGATGGATCCCGAATTCTTTACCAAATTTCATCACTGATTACAGAGATGGAGCTAGAAGATGAAGATGAAGATGAAGATGGATACAGGATTGAAATCGGAATAGGAATGAGAATATTCTTTTGTTCTGAATTCAAGGATAAGAAGAGCACATAGTTTATTCGAATCGACACCCATTTTTTGTCCTTTTTCTTTTGTCTTTTCCCTTTCATACCTTTAACATTTTGCACCAAAATTTTTATTCCTACTTAAATTATAACAATAGATTTTCAGGTACTTTTGATATTTAGAGTTAAAATTTAAACTAATTAGATATTAACCTTGTAGTTTAAAAACTTTTATTTTAAATATAAGCTTGTAGTTAAAAAACTTTTATTTTAAATATAGTTATAGGTTACAACAATTAGCACGGTCTGAAACCCTTTCATAGTATTGTGAAGGTAACCCTTCACAATATAGTATTTCTATAACAACTGTTTTCCTGTGAAAGTTTTATATTATTTTATGGTTTCATAAGAACAGATTGGTTTTACATGAATCCTATCCTAGGTTAAAATGTAAAGAATTCTTTTTTAATTCCAATTTAAAGTAAGATGTCTTTAGTTTGTATATAATCTCTTTACCTTTTGTTATAAAAGACAAGTCTGTATACATCTCATTTCAAGACAGTAAGATATATATCTGATTTGTTTAGTTTGTATACATTTGTTTTACCTTTTGGTATATAAGACAAGTCTACATACATCTTATTTCTAGAGAATAAGATATACTGGATTCCTTTAGTTTATATACGATGATTTTTCCTTTTGGTGTAAAAGACAAAGGCTGGATGGATCTTATTTCCATACAATAAGATATATTGGATTGTTTTTGTTTATATACAATTATTTTACCATTTGGTATAAAAGACAAGACCGAATACATCTCATTTTTAGACAGTAAGATATACTGGATTTCTTTTGTTTGTATATAATTAGGGGCAGAGCTAGAAATTTTATACAGAGGAGGCTTGGTTGTCTGAAGTCATACTTTATCATAAAATAAGAATAATATATATTATACCCTAACAACGTCCCATAAGAGAGAGAGTATGTTTGATGGGTTTTTTGGTTGATAGTTGGGTGTTGGAGGGGGCTTGGCACTAGCAACGCCCCCATTGTCATAGATATAGATATATATATATATATATATATAGTATTTGTTTAATTTGTATAATTGACTCAAAAGAAAAGGGATTGAAGATATTGAAAAAAAACCATTGCTTGAAGCACCTTCTTACAATGTGAAAACAAAGTACATTCCTGGATCTACCTAAGTGAAGTGGGCAATAGGAGGCACTCAAAAGAGCGTTCAACTACAACAAACAAACAATCATTCATCAAAGTTTGAAGACCAACATTTCAAAACAAAAAAAAAGACTCTGAAAATGCGAAAAACCAACAATCACGCAGGTGAACCACGTCTATATCGCCTCCAAAGCCTGCAGGACGTCCGCCTTCAGGTCCTCGAAGTCTTCAACTCCAAAGCTGAATCGAACCAGGTTGTCCATTATCCCGTATTTGGCCCTCTCCGATTGACTAAGATCCCTGTTTGATTCAAACAAGTCCAATATGATGCACCGTTTATGCGTTTGTAACCACCAACCCCCGAGCCCAGCAGGTCAACACTTCCCCCAAGAGCATCATGTGAAAAGCATAGTGGCTCACTAGGTGGCGGGTCAGCTTAACAGTATGTTCTTCAAGTAGGGAAGAAAAGGAGAGTAAAGGAAGAAGGTTTTCTACTGAAAGGGAAGAAAATGTGTTATTTTTACAAATACACCCTTCACATTTGTTTTGATGGCATTAGATTGATGGGTATTTCGTAATTTCACTAAGGGGCTGTTTGGTTGGCTTTTCATTAAGCCCTCTATTGATAAAGTTGTTTGTATGGATTAATTTGTGTGTAAAGATTGGAAAGGTTTTTGTTTGGGAAAGGTTTTTTCATAGATGGAAGGAGTATGTTTTTTTAATTGGGAGGGACAGGTTTAGAAAAAACTTGGCTTTTTGTATAACGCTCCCTTCTAAAAGCTTACTGATTAAGCCACTACCAAACAGGTAGCTGACCGAATAAGCTGTGAGTCTCATTAAGCTGCTAACAAACGGATCCTGAATTGTCCATGGGTTATTACAGATTTACAGTGCAAAGAGTTTAGTGCCCAAGCCCAATCCCCAAAGGAATTGTAACTCTGATTGCGGCTGCTTAGACTCAAACTCTCACCTGTTTGTGCAACTATACTACCCCGAAACTGATTATGCTACATGAACTTATGAGCAAGCACCCATGATGGACACGTAAACTTACCAGTAAGACATAATAGCTGGCTGATCCACAATGCTTTCACAGCCACCAAAAGACGGAGCAATATACGGGATCTTTAGGCCATCGACAAATTTAATGGTGGTTGTTATGTCTCCATCCACCTAAAACAAACACAAAACATGAACTTTCGTGTGAGAACATGCGAAACCTCGATACTCTCCAAACGAGCCGGTTCCAACATACATCAAGAAGAAATAGGCAATTCTAGCCGATGTGACGGACTGTAAGTAGCAGAGTGGAGGAAGCTAAAAAGGAGCAGAGAGTTAGAGCGGACCTCAAAACTGACAACACCACCAAAACCGAGCATTTGCTTCTTTGCTATATGATGCTCGGGATGGCTTTGCAAGCCAGGATAATAGACATGCTTCACCTGTGAATTTAGCATAAATCTTTCAGTATTCACATGTTATTTAAGATATTTCTCTGTTATGGCACAACTTAAACTCACCTTAGGATGTGCCTCTAAAACTTCGGCCATCCTCTGCGCGGTGGAATTCTGCTGCTGTATACGAAGATGCAGCGTTTTCATGCCTCGAATGATTAGATACGCAGCGTTCTGAGATTAAAAAAATAGATATCAAGAAACCCTCTACGTTAAGTAGTTTGAAGAACTCGTTTATAGGAATCCAGAAGATATTGTAGTATGTCAATAAGTCTAAAAAGGATGAGGATGTTAAACAACGTTATGAGAACCGATAAGATACTTACAGGATTGAGAGCACCACCTAAAACATGATGCAAGTTACGGATTTGAGAAATTATTTCAGTAGAACCGCTAACGCAACCAGCAAGGACCTGAAAAATAAAGTCACAAAGTTCAATCTTGGTTCAAATCTTAGGGCCTGTCTGTTAGCAGCTTAATGAGCATAATGAGACTCACACCTTATTCAGTTAGTGGCTTAATGATATAGAAAACAGTTTATTCAGTAAGCTTCTAGGGGGAAGCTTTATGCAGAAAGACAAGTTTTTACCAAACCTGCCCCTCCCAATTAATAGAACACCCTCCTTCCATCTATGAAAAAAACCCCCAAACAAAAACCTACCATTTCAATCTATACAGACAGCTTTATCCATACAGAACTTAATGGAAAACCAACCAAAAAGCCCTTAGCCTTGCTAATGCTTACTCATATCTAGCTCCCAAATCTTAGTTTATCTGTTTTTCACTTTCACACACTTCTCAATAGCCATGGATCTTCTTGCAAACAACCACTCTACTCAATAGGGTAGAGGTCAGATATGCATACATCTTAACCCCCCAACCCCACCTCCAGGTAGGATATACTAGGCTCAGATACTGATTCAAATCTTAGCATTACTATTGCTTACTCATATCTACGTTTTCAAGTCTTACCTTATCTGTTATTTTAACTTTTTTCACTTCCGCACACTTCTCACTAGCAAAGGGCATCTCAAAAACATCTGCTCTACTCTTTAGGGTAGAGGATAGAGGCCAGGTTCGGATACATCTCCCCCCCCCCCCCCCCCCCCGGACCCCCCCTCCAGGTGAGCTATATCAGGCTTGTTTGGTCTTAATTTCAATACGGTTCATTTCGAATAGATTGTTCTTAATACATAGTAAAGTAAATTAGCTAAAAGATTTGTGTTTACATCATTGTGACCACCAATATATTTTGTTGCAGAGTGCAGAACAATGTCAGCACCAAGGGCAAGAGCCTTCTGGTTGAGAGGTGTAGCAAATGTTCCATCAATGCAAACAATGGCTCCTTTAGCACGGCAAAGTTTTGAAACTAACTCAATGTCAACACATCTTAGAAACGGGTTGGTTGGCGACTCTGTGAAGAATAGACTAACCTGCGGAAAAATACATCTACATTAATTCCATTTAAGTCCATTGATGAAACAAAACTAACCTTTTCAGAAACAAATAGAGTCGATCTAAGCAATAAAGTTGGGTTTGAATTTGTAGTTTTGTACTACTCACTTTGTGGTTATCTAGTGCAGCTTCAAGGCCGGCAATATCTGCAGGATCAATGACTGTAGCCTGTAAATTGCGACAAAAAGAGCGTTCATAAGATGCACAATGTTTGAAACATCAAAATATTCATATACACAAGAAACAATCCTGTTAATGTTTGTATGCAAACTATTGACATCCGGAAGATCAAGTGAGAACCATAAATATTCTAAAAACCGTGAGAACCAGTTTATCTATTGATGCATAATATGAAAATCAATTAGATTATGCACCAATGCATATATATAACTATATATATTGAGAAATATACTAATTGATAAATATTTTGATAGTATATATGCATCAACGCATATATACATATATATAGGGTAAGGTTCGCGGAAAAATCACAAAAAAATGAAAAACCGAGGTAAACTACGGAACACCATGTTACCAAGGTGTTCCTCCGTTTTTCATTTTTTGGGGGTTTTCCCTTTATACCTCCCTCTACATTGATATATACACTAATTGACGAATACATATTTTGATAGTGTATATGCACCAACGCATATATACATACATACGGGTTCACATGGTACTCATTTTCTCAAAATACTTATGTGACATGTATTATAAATTTATAATAAGATACATGGATCAAAAGTCAAAACCCATACCGTGATCCCCATCTTGGGAAGAACCGTCTCAATGAAAATCCTAGTTTTCCTGTAGCAATCGGTGGTCGTGATTATGTGGCCGCCGGCTGGAACCAGTGCCAACATCATGACAGTGCTAGCACACATTCCAGAAGCCAGTAGCAAGGTTGATTCGGCTCCCTCAAGCGCACTATTTTCATAAGCCACAAGCCTTAACCGAGTCAAGACTTTTCTCATGATGGCATTAAGTTTCATCATAGAACAAGTAAAACGGAAAACAAACCCAAAAATAAACAGCATTACCTTATCTTTTCCTCCGCAACCACAGTCGTAGGATTCCCATAACGCCCATACTCAAAGCTAGTGTGTCGTTTTTCCTGTTTCAAGATCCAAGATTCGAAAGATTACATTAACAAAATGATCTCTATTATCTAGCTAATTCAACATATACAAGGAATAATCTAAACTTAAGTAGTTATGAACCATCGTAAAATTTAGGGGTGTTTGCGGTGCGGTTTGGGGTCAACCCGCAAAAAAACCACACCACAAAATGCAGTGCGATTTATGCAGTTTCTACCTAACGCACTTTACACGAACAATCCAATAATTATAAGATTAAAACTTTATTATAGAATCAACAATAACGTGATTGTAGTCCAAACAAATAAAAAGTTGAAATGCATCCAATTCCCAAATACATATTACATAAAATTAAAATAGTCTAAGAAAACTAAAAGTATTACATAAACTAGCCAAATTCTTATATATAATATATAGTGTATATATATAATGTGAGGTGCAGATGGAACCGCAGTTTGGTAAAAATGCAAACAGCACCACGGAAGTTCTAAACCAAGCTTTGCGGTAAGATGTGGTGCAGTGTGGGGGTGTGCGGTTTGGATGAACACCACTAGCATATAATATATAAGATCGAGGGTTGAGCAAAAAGGGTTCTTGAAAGGTGGATTGATTCCAGAAAACATGAATTATACCTTGAAATCAATGAGTTCGCCAGTTTTCTTGAAGAAATAGGCAGATGTATTGACCACTGGGGTAGTTATTGCATCAGTAACAATGCCGCGACCCAATCTTTCACCTAGCAAAACCATCATCAAATTGTTCTTACTAATAGCAAATAGAAACCCATTTTTCATCAATTTGATGAACACCAAATCTTATAAACGAATTAGGTTAAGAAGATTACAATTGAAAATTTGGAAATAAATGTTGCAATAAAGAGCAAATGTTACACGTTCTCCCGGAATTTGAGCAAATGAATGTTCGCAAACAAACAAAATTCATAATTAATGATCATAAATTCACAATCTATGCAACACATCCACTACATATCAATGAACACAGTATCGTATTTTAATTCTACAAAAATGAAATTTGTGGAGGGAAATGATAGATCATACCAGCATGAATTGCAACGCTGCCATCGGATTTCAAAAATGAGGGCTTATGAACATTCTCCAAAGCCTCAAACTGTACAAGAGGGCTACCATTACTCGAACCTAAATCCTTATCATTATTATTAACAACATCTTCACCCGCAACGATCGGGGCGGAGACGGCGGAGGAGGAGGCGGCGGCGTCAACGGCCTTACCCCCCGCCGCCGCCGAAGAAATAGGCTGGTTGTTAGACCAAGAAGCAGCAACAATTTGAGCAACCCCGATGTTGCTACAGTTCCTCCGAGCCTTGTTGCTGAGCTGTCTAACAAAGTTTGGAGGAAACCTCAGAATCAAAGACATACCGATCGTTCCATTACCGGATACTCCACCTAGCTTGCAAAAGAACCGTCCACCGTCACGTCGTGGAATTCCGCCGGAGAAATCGGGATCTGAACGGCATTCAAAAGGAAGGGAAACCCTAGAAGCACAGCTGGACAAAGCCATTTTCGAGCAAAATCTTGAGGTCAAAACGGAATCAGCCGTCCTGATTGAAGGAAGGGAGAGAAAGATAAAGAGAGAGAGAGATATTCAAAATCAAATCTCCGGCGACGATCTGAAATTTTGGAGGGTTTGGATGGTGGTTGCTTTATAGGCCAAGAGCAGATTCGATGTATCGACAATGAGATGGGGTTATTTCTCGGTGACAGGGCTGTGACATTTCTCAGGGGTATTCTTGTCTTTTTAACCTCAAAAATACTAACCGCAGGTTTTTTAACTTGTTGTTGTCACCACCCGTCGTAGGTTTTTTAAATTGCTAAAAGGAATTGTAAAGTTTGTTCATTTTAACAGTTTTAGTCCCTCGATTTTAGTTACATGGTTTTCATCTCTGGTGTTTGTCCATTTCTTTTCATTTTAATCCCTTTGTCTAACTCCCGTTAATTAGTTTGTTGAACTGTTCAATTATGGGTTGTTTACTAAACTTTTATCCAGTCAATATTTATCGGTTATTTACCTTTTTAAATAAACATAGAAAGAACCGGTAATCTTATCTGGAAAGAAATATGATAATGAATAAGAGTTTTACCCGGTAAATGAGGATGACAATTCTTACCCGATAAACATTTATCAGAAAAATTGTGGCATATGATATCATTTTAGGGTATTACAATCTTACACGGTGAAGTAAATTATAATGTTGACATTCTGTGATGGAGGTGAGAAATGTGATCCTTCGACTAATGCGAATAAGATGGTCGAGGTTGTGATCTTAAATGTGGGTGTAGGCCATTGGATACAGGGAGACCACCCGCGTGTTAGATTTCCCCGTAGACCGAATAGGGAGAGATCCATGTGTTTGCGTCATGTACCTCACCAGAGAAGTCTGCAGTGTAGCAAGGAGAAGTGGTTATTGTCGAGTAGTTTTAGAGCATCTCCAACAGCTTATTCAGAATGGAGAAAATGAAAATTTTGAGCCAATGTTTTGTTTCAACAGCTTCCTTAGAACTATCTCCAAAATGGAGAAAGTAGAAAAAAGAAAGTCTCTTTCTTCAAATCTGGAGAGAACCCAAAAAATGATTACCAAGTGAGGTCACCAATAGGAACATTTGAAAATAAATATTTAGAGAAAAACAATATATTAATAGATGAATAAATATTTTAATATTATAATTAATGTTGGATTCTCCACAATGGAGAACATGTTGGAGATGAATGTTTTTTTTTTAGATTTTGACTTTTGTTTCTTTATTTTGATTTACTTTTTTTGAAAAATCTGTTGGAGATACTCTTGAAAGAGAGATAGAGATAGATGATTGGATATATTTTATATTTAATATTTTTTATATAACATTATAATATATATATATATATATACATATATATATATACACATATATAGGGTTGAGTTCACGTGAGACCAAGTGTTTTTCGTGAGACTCATAAGACCAATTTATGTTCATTGATCAACTTTATAAGCTAATGATCTAATGGTCTAAAGTTGCACGATGACAATTTTGTGATTATTAAGAAGTCTCGTGGCAATTTTGTGATTATGAATGTTCAGATTGTTGATCTAATCCAAGGGTTGAGAATTAGTCTTCGGGTCTCACGAAAAACCTTTTGTCTCACATGATCCCAACTATATATATATATGTATGTGTATAATATTTTTATTCATTTTTAAAAAGGGGGAAATCTTGAAATTGACCAATATTTTAACCGATGGTAACATGTGGGTTTATGGATGTCTCTTTTAGTGAACATCATGAATGAAAACCGACTATATCAAATTAAGGGACTAAAAATGTAAACATAAACAAATATCAAGGACTAAATCCAAACTTTACTCCAAAATTAGTTACATTAAATTTTTATTTTTTTTATACCGTCGGCTGCTCCACCAACCACTTTGGGGAAGCAAAACAATGCACGTAAAAACCGCATCTAACCCACCAATTACCATTTACCAATACCAACAAATATCAAATACAACGTTAATTTATATCATTTCAGAGAATCTTTTGGTATTTTTAATAAAAAAATAAAAGAAATTTTAGAATTTCTTATTTCATTTAGAAAAATTAGAAGGATATTTGCATAATACAGCGAGATACATTTTGATTTTAATATTTTATTTCATATTTTTGGTCTATCGAATGTTATAATACGATTTTATGTAGAAATATGAAATTGAATATATTATAAAATTTTGAAAAAAATAAGCGATATTATTATCAAATTAACTATTTAAAAGTTATTGTTTTCGTGTAATTTTTTTAATTCAATTTTTTTATTGTAATCTAATTGAAGTGTAATAACGAACTAACTTATTTGTTATTTAATAAAATAATTTTTTAAGATAATAATTAAGTATTCTGTTATAACTCAATGATTATCTTAATTAAATTTTATTTTTTATATATACATGTATTTGATTATGTTTATCTACAGTTAGTTATACGAATTCAAACATGAAACTTTAATAAGATATACTTATGCACACTCTACTTGTAATTTTGAATTTTAAGTAATATGCATCAAAAATAGTACTTTATGCATAAAAAAATGTTATTAAGAGTCTTTGTTAGATAATTAAAATGAAGAAAATATAATTTCCTTAAATTTTTTATTTTAATAAAGAAATTTAAAATATTTTTTAATGTAGAAGTATGGAGGGAAAATAAGACTGTTTCTGTAACTAAACGACTGAGAATAAATCTTTCAAATTAAATTTTAATAGAGAGAAATAGTAAACCAGTTATTTTTTACTTATTTTGGAAGATACATGATATAAAATTATAATATTTTATAAAGTTTTTTTCAAAATTTTGTTATGAATGACAACCAATTTGGATCATATCTGATCTTAAATAAAACTATATTGATAGTCTGTAGAAAAAGAGTTTGTAACCAGCAACTCTCGAGCTGACCCATATCGTCTTGTCCAAATATGTAAGAGGCAAATCAAGTATACAGTTATACGCTAGGTGACTGATTTAAGTATTGAACATCCACAGAGAGTTCAATTTCTAAAATATACAACCTTTATGCAGGGACGGATTCATAAACTTTTTTCAAACGGCGACACCATTTGATTATAAGAAACAAATATAGGAGAAAATTTTCAATATGTGGCACTATTTGAGGACTAATTTTAGATTAAGAAAATCCATGTCCCTAACCACGTCAATAAATAATACTGAGTTAGATATCACATCGCTCGCCACATCAACATGGTAACCGGTTAATGCTTCAATCGGTTAACTGGATACTTAAATATTTAAAAATTTTCATCTTATGTACCAAAATAAAAGTTTTAAAAGTACGTAACCAAAAATAAATTTTAAATTAAAATACGTTATTTTTTCATACAATTTTACGTTTGGGGATGTATCCCAATCCTATATAATATTTTCTCTTTGGGATTCATACAAAATAATAAAATGCATTAATTTAAATTTACTGAAAATAACTTTTTGTATTAATTATAATTTACTTATAGAAATAATATAAATACTTGAAAAATAAAAAAAATGGTTTTAAATATATTAGAAAAACTGTAAAATCAGATCCAATTTATCGTAAAACAACTTAAAAAATTATACCCTATGAAGACCTGCTTTCGCTACGGCTCCGACGAGTGTCCATTTGGACAGAAAGACCCTATGAAACTTCAGTGTTCCCTGGGATTGGCTTAGAATTCTAGCTATTTCAAAGTGGTATTTCATTGATGGCTCGAACCCCACCAGAAGAATAGAAACTTTACATGGAAATGTTAGGTTAAATCGCATTTAAAATTCATACTTTAAAGCCAGATTTATTTTTAGAAATACACGTATTAAATCGCATTTAAAATTCATACTTTAAATCCAAATTTATTTTTAGAAATATGCGTATTAAATCGCATTTAAAATTCGTACTTAAAAGCCAAATTTATTTATAGAAATATAAATATTAAATGGCATTTAAAATTCGTACTTTAGAGCCAAATTTAATTTTTATACACAATATGTACTTGATAATCTATAATTTAAAATAATATCTATTTATAAAAACACAGTAAATTCTATTTGTATTAATTACTAAAATGAATGTTAATTTATATATTAAAATGTATTTTTTTTAAAATTATGGAGCATATTCTAAAAAATAATTTTAATGTTTTTTTAATAAATTACTTAAAATGGAAAAAGTAGGACAACTGTTTTTTCCTAGTAGTTTTGCAATAATTTAACTGTTTAGCAGAAAAAATAGTGTTTTATTAATTAATTGATATTTTAATAATATAATTAAGACTGAGGTTCGATTTTGGTCTCTAATGTTTGCAATTTTTGACGGATATCGACCATAAACTTCAAAATCTCGGATTTGATTTCTCATGTTTGACAATTCCTAACGGTTTTGGTTCATTTATCTAACGGTTGTTAACTTTTTCCATCAAGTCCAAATGAATGAGGGGTAATTTAGTCATTTTCACTGTTTTCATTACGTTATTTTTTTAAATTTTAAATTATAAAACAAAAAAACAAACACATGGTTGTTATTTTTTTATTTAATACAAATTAAGAAAAAAGTGAAAATAACTAAAATACCCCTCATTTAACTAGACTTGACGGTAAAATTTAGCGATTGTTAGACAGAGGACAAAATTGTTGGAAATTGACAAACTTGAGGGACCAAATCCAAGTTTTTGACATCTATTTGCGATGTCTATTAAAAATTGTAAATGTTAGAGACCAAAATTAAACTTTACTCTATAATTAATGTTGTAATCTCTAATATTGTAACTAACTGGAGTTGAATGTAATTTATACTTTTTGGAAATTTTAACTTTTTTGAAGTATATAATATTTATATACGGCAAATAGAACAAATAAACTCACACACTCTCATTATTTTTTATGAGATTTGAACCCCTGACCTTCTAGAAGGCCAAAAACTCACATACTATTAAGTCAAAGACCATTTGATAACTTTTATTTTTTTATTTTTAACAACATGTTAAAAATGTTATTATATTAATAAAATATATAGTATTTGATCCCACCAACAACCAGTAGCTTACAAGAGAAAGGGGAATGGAAAAAAGCACTTC